ATGAGGCCATGTGGTCAGATTAGATACACTATTATTTTTCATAAAACCTACAACCTGTAAGGGAGCCGTTTTTAGTTAGTAGGATTTACAGTCTTCCTTTTGACTATGCCCCCTAAGTGATTTAAAACATATTGTCATCCATATTATGGATTGTGGATTTATTGTGGTAGCAAAAAAGAAAAAAAGTGATAGAAGTCCATGTTTTCTCAAATAATGGCTACATGCAGTGTATATTTTATACTCATGTTAGCCATATGATAACTTATATGAGTGTGCATTCCCAAAAGGCCTCAATCAAACAGGTTTAGAAATACAGTTTATATAATGTACGTGAGTCCTTTACTCCTCATTGTGCATCTATAGCTGTAAAATCCCACTCTTTCTAACTGATGACAGCAAACACATTTGGTTTCTTCTTTTACTGCTTATGCCCAACTGGCCAGTTATTAATTAGGAATACTTGATGACATTTCAGATTATTAAAACCATTTCTAATTTCTAGCGCAGATCAGCTTAAAAACATAAAATCATGCTGTATTACAGAGAAATGTTTAAGAAAGTACATGTATTCTCAATTCTACATGTCGTAATTTGATGGAATGATACAGTAATTGAAAATTACATATTTTGTTTAACTAACTCAATATGAGTATAATATTACTCAGATACAGTAAATGTGACAATGTCAGGCAATGTGGGTTTTTTTTAAATCAAACTAATAATGGTTTGCGGAAACTTTGCGAACACTGAAGGTTGATAAATTAAGATTAATTTGTGTGGTGAATAAGACCGAGAATGAATGGGTGTGAAGCCGTTACATCTGCATATTGAGCAGCGTGGGCTAACAGAACCTGTGCTGCTGGGTGAAGTGTAGGTTGAGAGGGAAATGTTGGATTTTTAAACTGGTCATTGCTTTGTAGTTGGAAACCAAGTGGGCAAAAACTATGGGCTGGTTTTGAAAACTTTTCGTGGGGTATATTATTGAATGTGTTCCATAGAAGAAAAAATGAAGGTGAGACTCAAGCAGAAGATTTGCTTTTACAGGATGAATAAAAACTCACAACAAGTGTCAGAGTTAAGGCTGGTGACTGTGTTGGTGCAGGAACAAGACAGGAAGAATCGTTTTTGACTGAGGCTAAATAAGTGAGACTGGCCATGGAGCCAACTTGCAGAGCCAACACCAGGACTGAGGAAATTGCAGTTCTTTGCTGTGTGATAGAGGATTTTCACATTTATGCATAGATACAACATTTACACTAAAGCAAACAAACTAATGATGACAGGATTGGGTCTTAATTGACGTCAGTTATTGAAGAATCAAGTTCCAGATCAAGTCCTTCCAGATATGCATACAGTTTTTGTCTGCTGCACTGGAAGTTATTGTAAATGTTTAATTCAACCTTTTTACTGTTGCAAACTCCATAAGCAGTAAATACTTGCATTTAAGATACCTGTTTGACATAATCCAACTTTAATCTTTGCAACTAAACCTCAGCAAAAAAAAAAAAAAGCAGATGCAAGTTCAGATCGCTGCACGAGTTTCATAATAAATAACTTTTATTTTTATTTTCTCTAACATGCACAGCCCAGCGGATAAGCATTATACTTTATCCACCATTGCAGCTGCACATTTGTCAGCTTTATTTTTTTATTTGCATCCCCTCATCCTTACCCGCTGCCACCAGCAGCACCACCATCACTTCGCAGGCAAACAAGCCTTTTCTGCCCGACATTATCTCCATCCAGACTCCGCTGGAAAGGAGGTTGAAATGACGGATGCAACCATGGGAGAGAGACCGGGGGACAGTTTATTTACATCCGAAGAGGCTGTGTAAGTTTAGAGGGAAGCCGCTGCGTGTGTCTCCCTCTTTACTTTCACCGACCCCCTCCTCCGCTGGCAGAAATTTATAAAGAACAAAAAATCCGACGAGGGAGGGAGGGGGGTTGATATACGCCGAGGCTGAAATCGAGAGGCGAACCCAGGGAAAGAGGAGTAATTTGTACACGGGACTTTCCCCCTCTTAGTCCCCCCAAAGGAGGGGGAAAAGTCGCAATATTGGAAACGAAAAGGAATGAGCTTCTAAGGGCGTGAAAACGTCTGCAATTGTGGATACTTTATATATTTTTATTTCGAAAAAATATGGCCGAGAACGTTCTGGAGGGTGGCCCGCCTTTAGCCAAGAGGCCTAAACTCTCCTCTCCGGCACTTTCCGCCTCCGCCAGCGATGGAAATGGCAAGTATTGTTTTATGATATCGTTTGTTACGGTGTTATACGTTAAGTTTGTTATTTTTCGGCGGCTTGGGTTTACTCGAAAGAGGACGAAGACGCGGGATTACTCCTCTGTTTTTGTCGTAGCTCGCTAACGTTAGCTTGCTCGCAGTGAGTGTGTGTCGGACGTGAAGAGGAGCTCCCCCAGCTAGCTCGCATGCTAACAGCCATTTTAGCCGGAGGTAGCTCTGTTAGCCGACGCTAGCTGACTGACTGCGGGTCCTCCACTGACGGTCCCGTGTCTGTGGGCACTTTAGCCCGACTGATAATAAACTCAACGCCAAGTCAACTTGTGGTAAAGTTTGTGGTGTCTCACAGCTGTGCTACATTGTCAGTCAGCCACAGCGAGTCGCACACAGTTTCCAGGCTTCAAATGTCTCAAACAATCTGTTGTTGCCCCATCATAACTCGGACCCATTCCCAACTAACGCTAGCTGCCGTGGGTAGTGTTCGTGAAAGCAGAGGTTGCCAGCGATGGTGGACAGCCTTGTTGGGGAGCTAATTTTAGGCCCACGGGTCCGGCTGATTGTTAAGCTCAATTTGCCATTGTTGGTGTGTGTTTTCTGTGGATGTCGTGTGACAGCAGCTGGAATAGTGGCCTGCGAACAAAACTGTGGAGCATGGACAGCGCCATGCCCAGCCACTGCGATATTCACCAGCGAGTCAAATTAGCAAGCAAATACCGCTCCGAACACGAAATAGTCACCGAGATTTCAATACTTAATCGTTCCCTCAATCATTATACCACCAACAGCCTCATCTAAGGCTGGCCACTCAGCTAAGGTGGCAGTCAACATCTGTGGAAAGAGACTTTTTCGGTTGAATTATACAGACGTTGCACACATTTGCTTTGCATTGCATGAGGTGTTTTGTGGATCAGATCAGTGCTGCCAGTGCTGGAAGTGATCTGTGTTTGAGGGATGCAGTTTATTGCGCTCAAAGATCATTTATAACATCGGCATGCAGAGTGGTATAAAAAAGCATATGACGAGAAATGTGCGTCTTGCACAGTATTACCTGCGTCTGTGCTTGTGTCTTCAAATACACTTGGCTGCTTATGATTTCAGTCAGTTAATTTCCAAGTTGAGTTGATTAAAGTTGAGGGCTGCAAATGCATATTATTTTCATTGTAGATTAATCAGTCACTCTTTTTAAAAAGTAAAAGAAAAACTAGGGCAAGTGACCTGAGCTGAAAGTGATGTTTTCATAGCTTACTTAGTCTGACCTGCAACCAGAAATCTAAAGTATTCAGTTTGTAGTTATATGAAGCAGAAAAAAAAAACACTTTTGTGATCAGCAATGAGTAAATGTGTAAAACTGAGTTGAACAATTAGTATATGTGTAGCTTACGGTGTTAAAAGTAACATTGGTTTATGGGAGAACAATTCTGTTGTCCATCTGTATATTTGGTGATGTGTGCCTTTTGGTCTTATGTATCTGTCTTGATTGCCTAAGCTGTGTGCTGTCGAACTTAAACTGGGAATGCGTCTCCACCGTCTTGGCTCCATTTTGTGCTTTCTATGAAATGGTCCATTTGTCACCTTGTCTGCACAAACCTGTGTTTGCAACATGTTGAATCACTTTACTGGTCAGGGGTTCTCTGTGCAAGAAGGCCTTGTGGGCGTGTGTTTGCAGGCACCCTGCACACACATAAGTTCTTCTACATCTCACCTGTTGTTTAATACTCTGTTGTGTTGTGCTTAATGGCATGTGATTAATTTCTGATGGGAGAAAATTGATCATACACCTCTAAACAGCTTTTATCAGTTTTTATTGTCAAGCATGCAATTGTATTTTCACCCAGTCATGCTGAAACATGAAGGATTATGCCAGCTTAACATGGCTGTGGCCCTTTTTGTCCTCCTATCACTCTTTCCCTGTTTTGTCTCCCATCTCATTGTCTCCCCTCCTAAACTTTGCATTTCTTTTCCATTTTAGATTTCGGCTCACTGTTTGACTTGGAGCACGATCTCCCAGACGAGCTCATCAGCTCTAATGAACCGGGCCTGATCAATGGTGGGGACCTCAGCCAGTTGCACACCACACTGGGAGCAGGACCTGCAGGAGGCAGCGGAGGGCCAGGGGGAATGGGTCTTGGCCTTGGCCCTGGAGGGGGTCCTGGGGGTGTTGGCGGAGGCCAGGATGCGGTGGCCAAGCACAAACAGCTGTCTGAGCTTTTGCGTTCCGGGGCACCCACCTCAACCCAACAAGGGCACCAAGGAGCCATGGGAAGCCCAGGAGGCCCCACTGCCATGGGGCAACACTTGGCGAACATGAAAGCATCCCCTGGCCAGGGGCCTCCGCAGATGATGGGCCAGGGGCAGCAGCACCTTTCCCCTCAGCAACAGGCCAACATGATGCAGCAGCAACAGAATGCTGCAGCTGGAATGATGGGTGGCATGAACAGGGCCATGATGGGAGCGCAACAGAAAGGCAATAATGGACAGCAGCAGCCCGGCATGATTGGGAACCAAGTGATGAATGGCTCCCCCAGGATGGGCTTTGGGAATCAGGGGATGGGTGGCAACAGCAACCTGTTGGCTGAGACCCTACAGCAGCAGGGAGCTGGGGGCCAGGCCGGGATGAGAGGCCAGCAACCTGGGGCAATGAACAAGGTAATGACTTCTTGAGTTATAGAAATGCTGTACTTTTCCCGTAGACATAGTTTAACATTGCGTATGAACCGTTTTTTAAAGTCTGATCTGTTAATATGGAACAAGAAGGTTCAAGTACTTGCCACTTGTCATTTAGAACTCACATTATCATCTAGGTAATGCTCTAAAGTATTTACTTCTTCCCAAAACCTACCTACCCTAACTTTTAAAAAATAAACAAGGACTAATTTAGGAAAAATGAGCGTATGATTGCAGTAATTAATTAGTGAAGGGCAGCACTTTTTTTTTGTTTGCACATGATTGATGATTTACTGAAGGTCAAGACTGTATGTTTATGTGCAAAACCTATTCACAAATGATATGTTGCTGTTGTTTTCCCTTTAACTTAAGCTTCTTTACTGAACGCTCTAGATTGGTTCTCCACTTTGAAAGGGATGCTATTTTGCCCAATATGTAACCACAGAGTAGTGCTTTGGGTCCATGACCGTATCTATGTATTTTAACAACCACAAGAGATGCAGAGCACGCTTATGCTTGGAACTGAAGTGGCAGGAAACTGCTCTACTTGTGTGATTGACAGTCCCACAGGAGTGACAGTAAGATGTTGCAGTGGCAGGGTGATTCTGCTGAATGAATGCAGCGGAGACACTGATGTTAGAGTTTGAGATCGGAAGCAGTGAGAGTTATCGAAAGCCGTAAAAGAAAAATGCAATGGAAGGAATAAGGAGAGAAACGACACAGGGGTAGTGATTAGGAGGAGATAAGTGATTGAAAAAGTAAAATGAACCCCTTCACTGTGCAGGCAGAAAAAGGGAACTATTCATGTCAGATTGCTGTTACACACTCTGCTGGCTACTGTTACTGCTGTTGATGTTACATTTTGATCTGCATATGTTTTTAGATTTTTCTCACCACGTTCACGTTACATTAGTTGGTCACTTAATTTCGGTTGAGCAAGTGCAAGTGGTAAAAACAGATGATTTAATGTCCTTCTGGGAAATGAAAAGTTCCCTTTAACTTGGCTTTGATGGAGTTCACGTTGTGAGGAAATAACCACATGTCATTCTCATTTAACAGCTTGTGTTGGAAGATTATGTTGCAAACTGTTAGAGCACAAAATACTGTTACATGTGTAGTTCAGATGCTGTCACTGATAACAAAAGTGAGTTATGATCTTCTTACTTGCCTGACGTATCCTACATCACTCTCTTCTACTCTTTATATTTCTTCATCATTCTTAACAACTTCTCTGTGTCGTTTTCCTTTTTTCTCTCTCAGATGGGGATGATGGGAAACCCAGGGGGCCCTTTTGGAGGTCCGTATGCAGGGCAGGGGAATCAAGGTCTTGGAGGTGCAGGGCTGGGCCCTCAGCTCCAGAACAAAGGTCCCATGGCTAACAGCCTGGCCCAGTTCAATGTGGACAAGAAGAGCCAGCCCATGCAAGGAATGGCCACCATGGTAGGAAACAAATACAAACTGACTGAAAAACTGTTTGTGTGTCAGATGCAAGAATGAGCTGTACTATAATTCTTTTACCAAGTTGACAAATTTAAGCATCAATCCTTCCTTTATTTCTGACCTTCTCCCTCCTACCTTTCGTCCCACTGCGTAACTGTTTTACTGCTCTGTTCCCATTTTTTAACTTAACTGTAAATTAAACACCACCTCCTCTCTTTTTATTTTCTTCTTCCTCTCCCCTCCCTACTCCCCGTTACTTTCTACCTAACCTCCCTTCGCCTGTATACTTTCTACATTACCGGTCTCCGTTACTTTTACCGCTACAGCCTCTCTGTTACTTTCTACCACTTACCTCCTCCGTTACTTTCTAGCTACACCTCTGCTGTTACTTTCTACTACAACCTCTCCTGCTTACTTTCTACATTACCGTTCCGTTACTTTCTACTAACTCTCTCGTTCTTTCTACTTGTCTCCTTCCCTTTTTACTCTCTGTTACTTTCTACCTAATCTCCTGGTTATTTCTACCTAACCTCTCTGTTACTTTCTACATTACCTCTCCTCTCCAGGGCTCCCAGCAGTCTCAAACAGGTGTGGGCGGTCCCTCTGGTGCACCTGTGGCAGGGGCCCCAGGTATGGTGCCCAACGCTCAGGCAGGTCTGGTGGGTCCTGGTACCCAGGTTTCAGCAGCATCTGCTGCAGCCGGAGCACCACCCACAGCTGACCCTGAGAAGCGCAAGCTAATCCAGCAGCAACTGGTGCTCCTGCTTCATGCACACAAGTGCCAGCGGCGGGAGCAGGCCAACGGTGAAGTCCGGCAGTGCAACCTTCCCCACTGCCGCACTATGAAGAACGTCCTCAACCACATGACTCACTGCCAGGCTGGCAAGTCCTGTCAGGGTGAGTAGCAGGGATGCTGCATGCCTCTGCACTCTGTGGATAGTGTGATGTGTTTCTGTGACAAGCAGGCTTTTTTACAGAGATATTAAGTTATATTACCTTTTTATACTATAATCAACATCACAGTGATAATTGTGATTTACTTTCTAAAGAGTAGCTCTGCGTTAGACAGATGTCACCGTGCATGTTCAGGGATGAGGTTCACTGTTTACACTCATTTTCTAGGTTGATTAACAACACTGTCTGTCCCTCCTAATGGAGGTATATGTTAACCAATGCAATGGTATAGCTCTTAGGTAAACGGCACAGGAGGCATAAGCTACACAGAAAATACTTGTTTGAAAATTGTTAGTTGTTTTGGGTAATAATAATAAGTTAGTTTAGCACTAGTTTACCAGTTTTCTATGTCCTGTTGAGGCATCTCTAATTTAGTCTTTCATCTTCAACCTTTACCTCACTCTGTTTCATTCTTGTTCTTCTGCCTCTTTCCCCTCCCTCATTCCCTCATATACCTCTGTTTCCCAATTCCTGTCTTTCTGCCCCTTTTCATCCTCAGTTGCTCACTGTGCATCATCAAGGCAGATCATCTCCCATTGGAAGAACTGCACGCGGCATGACTGTCCTGTCTGCCTGCCACTGAAGAATGCTGGGGACAAGAGGAACCCGCAGTGTGAGTGTCTGTATCTGACCAAACAACGCTATACTTTTTCACACTACACTGTACTAACTGATGGGGCTGACCAAAAGATTGTATTTTCATTGTCATCGCAATATGAACATGCGCAGTGAACACATCGCGAAAGACTGCATGAAACGAGATGAGAAAGGAAAAAATATTTTGTATAGGGATGGGTACAGAAACCCGGCATTAAACGAGTCCTGGATCTAAAGACCGTAGTATTAATTACCACACTGCAGCCTCTCTGTTTGCTATTTGTCGAGGCTGAACTTCTCCACATATATACACAGACAAAAACACTCACAAACAGAGCGTAGTCAGCGGACAGACGAGTCCGTGGTGAAGACACTAAAGTGAACGAGTGGCAATAACTCAAAAATTACTCGAGTTGACGACAATTATGTTCGTTACTGTAAGTAAGACTGCTACTGACTGATGTGTTCTTTATTCTTTCTAAACTTCTAAACTTATTTTTTTGATGTTTTAGATTTGTCTCCAGTGAGATGTTTATATATTGACTTTGCGGTTGTAAACACTGCTGCTGCTCTAGAAAGAAAATTAAGTTTAATTTAAAACATTCAATAGTAACCCAGTACTAAATTTAGAGACAACCAGGTTGACATAGGAACTGTAAGCTTATACGCACACTTCAATATTTGTTAATTTATGGCAATCACATCATTGTCATCCTAATATTGAACCATCTAATCGCACATTGTAGGCTTTCCTCAGATCATGCTTACTAATGTTTTATAGTCTTATTGTTATATCGTGATTTTTGTAAATACATTTTTATGATTTTGTGAATATGTTGCTGGATTGGAACCTGCAACCTTGACAGTATTAGTGAGCTAAACATAATCTATAGTGGAGTAATTTGATTTGCAGAATGATTTTTAGCTTAGTTTTGCAGAAATATTCAGTCACAGTTTCTAATGATTAGTCTTTTTTTAAATTCTGTTTGATAGATCAATTTCTTCTTCTTATGTCCTTACAGCTTTACTTGGTGGGGCGGCTGCAGGTCTGGGCAGCTCCCTTGGGGCAGTACCCGGTGGCCAACCAAGTACTCCCAATCTCAACCCACCGAGCCAGATTGATCCCAGCTCCATAGAAAGAGCCTACGCCGCCCTGGGCCTCACCTACCAGGGCAACCAGATCCAGGTTCAGACTGCCCAGCCCAATATGCCCAACCAAGGCCTCCCAGGCCAGGCTGGCATGAGGTCTCTGAACCCAATGGGTGAGTTTGGTGGTATGTTCACTTCCTTCACTCTCCAGGTATTTTCAGGGAAGAAATATACTTCTACCTCTTCCTGATAGCACTGAGAGCATAGTATTTTTTCCAAAGCCCAGACAATACATTTAAACTTAATTTAAGTGTAGTAGTTAATAATTATGTAAAGAGTTAGATGAAATGAAATGGCCTTTCAGTGTTTTATTGCCAGAAGGAACCACCACTACCTACCAGAAGCATTATTCAAAGGGCTCCAGGTTAAAAAATATAGACACCCCATAGACAGTCTGATCAGCACTTCCAAGAATATGCTTTTAATGCCATGTAGATTGAACACATTACAAGGTACATCCCCAAGAACAAGGTATATCACAGTTTTATAATTGGTAGGGGAACACAAGGAATACAAACTTATAATGTCCCGTCCTTTCCATGTGTAGGTGGGAATCCTATGGGAGTCAATGGAGGTGTGGCAGCTCCAACTCAGAGCCAACCATCCAACCTACTGCAGGACACTATGATGCACCTCAATGTGAACAGCCAAGGGTAAGAAGGAACACAAAAACTTAGAAGCACCTACAGTGGCTAAGAGCTTTAGATTTTCATCATTTAACTCCAGACCGGGGCACACACAATCATATTTTTTAAAGAAGTTAATCATTAAAATGATGCCTTCCTATCTCTTCCAGTCTGATGAATGATGCCAGCGGGATCGGCTCCATGCCCACAGCTGGCCCTCCTTCCGCCACAGGCATGAGGAAAAGCTGGCATGAGGACATCACGCAGGACCTACGAAACCACTTGGTACACAAACTGTAAGTATTAAAGAAGATATCCCACATTGCATTTTTGTTTGCGTTGTACATTTATGCCAACAAGAATGGGATCTTGTTGGTGTAGTATGTTAATGCAAGTCATTTTTCCTACAATATGCATATCCAGTGTATGTCTGCTTGGATTTGAAACTTCAGTTAAGCTGGTTGTTTGTGCCTCTCACACATAACTGCTAGTAAAATTAGCAAGTCTTTATAAGCTCTGGCAGAGAATGAAGTTGTACATGAACATGAAGAGATTTATTCTTCCTCTGTGGCAATAAACGTAACACATGGGCCTGCCAATAACTGTACTATATTCAGAGTTTGACAAGATATTTATTGCTGACTAACATTAACTTGACCACAATAAACAGCAGAGCTATGACAAGGCAGTCACACACTGGTAGTTTGCCACTAGCTCAGCTACAACATAGGTATCCATACAGACACTTTATGGGGGGGTCTATGATTAGGGTGTAGGTGCCATATCAACACAAATACAGTAATAATTATGGAATTTTTTACTTTTTTTACTTACTTTTGCTTCAACTCCCTGTTTGTTCTTCCACCCACAGTGTTCAGGCCATCTTTCCGACTCCAGATCCTGCAGCCCTCAAAGACCGTCGAATGGAGAACCTGGTGGCCTATGCCAGAAAAGTTGAGGGAGACATGTATGAGTCAGCTAACAGTAGAGTAAGTTGCACTCTCCTCTAGCTCACTGTTACTCAGAAAAGGAGGGGAAACAGTTGGGAGGTTTGCCTGTAATGTTGCGGCTGTAGCCAGTCATCCATCATAGATTGGTCTCAAAAGTTAATATTTCACAATTCATCTGCCATGGTGGGACGTGGGTGAAAACCTAGTATGAGCCTGATGAATTTGTCATTTTAGTGCAGCTAGTAAAGTCCTTCACGTGCATTATCCTGTTGGTAACTTGCCTTTATTTCCTTGGTTATTTTTTCAGCTGCTCTTTAATGTTTAAGACGTGTACCCTCGTTTTCCTCATTTGTTACACTCTTTTTGACAGGCTGAGTACTATCACCTGCTAGCGGAGAAGATCTATAAGATCCAGAAGGAGCTGGAGGAGAAAAGGAGAACTCGACTCCAGAAGCAGGGTCTAGGCCTTGGGCCTGCCAGCATGGGTCAGCCCCCTACTGGACTGCCTCTAAGTGAGTGGACATGCAGCATATGTAGACTTGGATGAGCTAATGTTAACGCTGGGCTGCAGGCATTCATGTGCATGATAATTTAATCCAGTGGAATGTGACATTCTGACATTTTAGCATTGTTTTGTGTCTCTTACCTCATGCATTGAGATTTTAAGCAAGCCATGATCTTGCAACCTTGGTCAAATAATATTTATTAAACAGTTTAGGTAATTTGTCGTGTCCTACCTGCTGTGAAATGTTATAGTTGATAAGGGGAGTTCATGTGAATCTGATTCGTTCTTTTGTTACTTTTGCCCTGCATTACATTTTTTTTGCACCGGTTAAATTTTGTCATGCTAGGTCTTCTGACTAGAGTAGCTTGTGTCAGCCGTCTCCTCATACTTATGGAGGTACTGTCTGTTTCTTGTGTTGGTTCACATTATACACACATAATTAATAAGTGTTGGACTGATCTTTTTCGAAAGAGGCTCAAACTGCATTTCCATGTATCTCTGCTGAGTCATATGTTGCCACATGAGTCCAAACTAATCTTTCCTAACCAAACAAACAGAAAAAAAGATGACATTCCAGAGTTTGTACAAAACCTCTCCACACATGCTTGGTTGAGGCATTTCCACATCTCACTCTCTTCAGTCAACATTGGATATTGATATTCTTCATCTTTTGTCTCTGTTACAGACGGCCCCCTCCCTGAACCATCAATGGTGCGACCAGCTGGACCAAATCAGATGGTCAACAGGATGCAAGGCCCAGGTAAAGAACCACAGGGAACAAGGATGCATTTTTTAAAAAAATGTTGTACCAGCCCAAATGTTATTTTTAAGCCAAAAACATTGAAACCCTTTTTTACAGGAATGGTTTACTAGTACTAAGACTGGAAGCTTGTAATATTTTTTGCACTGGTGTTGACACTGCATCGTGTTTAGGACACTTCACACTCTGACACAACAACATAAAAACCTTATATTGGACATGTAAAGGAGCTATTTAAGAACTAAATACAATATTTAGTGTGGTTTCAACATAAAATGTCATGTGTTGTATCGTAACAGTCTCTGTTTTGTCAGGTATGAATCAGTTCAATCAGATGGGGATGCAGTCTATGGGACAGAGGTCCACGCCTCCTCTCCCCATGGGAGCATCTGGCAACCAGGTCAGCGCTGAACTCCACATGTATCTCACAGTTTTTAATGTGCTCATGAACACAATGATGAATCCACTAAAGTGTAATGTATCTTTGCTACCAAAGTGTATTGTTTGAAAGGACAGAAGTATGCATATCAAAACACAATTTGAATGGGGAGAAATTCACTGTTGCTGTTGTTGTAGCTCACAAAAATACTACTTTTAACCAGTCAAATGCCCCCCCCCCCCTTTCTATACCTCTAGATGGGAATGGTTGGACCCAGGATGGGGCAGCCCAGTGTGAACCAACTCCAAAACCAGTATCTGTCCCAGGGACAGTTTCCTGGTTCAGGGCCAGGAGTTGCAACAGCTCAGCCTGGGATGGCCCAACCTGGGGCACAGGCAGGCATGCCACAGGTAAGCAGGCCTGAAGTTCTTTTTCATGTTGGTCAGAAATATCTTATTAGTAGATGTGTGGCAAGTTAAGTCTTAATCAAGGACAAAGTGTTGTTAAAAAAGTTTGTGCAGTAAAAATGACTAATATTAAATTGTTGAGGACTTGGTAAACAACTTCTCCTCTTTGGGCATTGTTGTTAAAAAATTGTAGCATCTCAATTTTGTAGTACAACGTATAAATATAGTTTATCCTAAGAGTGACCTTGTCATACATGCTTCATTTTCTTCTTGAACTATACGTTATATTGACTCTATTCCTGTGAACCTTTCCTGTGTGTCTCCCCTCTCTTTACCCTAATCTTCTATCCTAAGACGCAGATGGGCACTCCTCCATCTCTTCCAGTTGCTAGTCCTCTAGCACAACCAGGTTCAGCCAGTGGTCCCGGTAGTGTCTCCGCAGTGGGGCCTATGGGTCCTCAGAGTGTGGGTGGTGGAGGTCCTAACTCAGCTGTTGGAGCCCCTGCTTCCTCAATGACTCCATCTAACACAAACCAGCAGCCCAACTCCATCCCCCATTTGGCAGCCATGCGCGGCAGCTCGCCCTCCCCTGCTCATAGCCGATCTCCTACTCCTCACCAAACACCCCCCAGACTAGCCGGGTCCCAGACCCCACAGCCACATACCCCTAATGCACCACAGCTGGCGCCACCTTCAGTCCCCCAGCAGAATCCACTTAGCCAGGGCCCCGGCTCCAACAAGTCCCTCCAGCAGCAACACATGGGGCCATCTGGTTCGACCACTCCATCTCACCCTGGACTGGCCTCCAGCTCAACGCCGCATAGTGCTCAGCTGCCACGCACTCCAGTCAGTGGGATTTAGCCTTTTACATACCTTTTTAACATTAAGACCAATTGACCTAATTCCACAGATTCCGTCCGCCCTGTAGCAGTAACTACTGTCCTTAAGGCTTATTTTGATATCCTGTTTCTGTAGATATAAGTTAGTCTCACTCATGAGACCAAACATTTTACCATTGCCTCAGTTATTACTAAACTGCATTGTCAGTGTTTGGAGTTTGGCTTTATCTGTTGAGCTGCTCAGAACCTTCTTCTTTTCAGTGTATCCTAACATTTAATTGGTTGTTCACTTTCATGCATCACTATGTTATATTCACTATTTCCATGCACCTGATTGTTTCTATGTTCCTCTCTAGCTGTCACAAAAGGGTTCATTCCCAGGGGACAGTCAGGCCCTGACTCCAGCCTCTGTCAGCAGCCTGGACACGTCCTCCCAGCAGCCACAGTCGGACACTTCCGCCACCAACCTCGACCCCAAGATGGAGATTAAGCAGCAGGATGAGGAGGAGGAAAGTGATACAGGCAGCTGCTCCAAAGGAGGGAAGCTCAGCAACCTCAAAACAGAGGAAAAGCCTGTGAAATTAGAAGTGAAAAAGGAAGCGTGTTCTGGAGAGGGAGGTAAAGGGATTCCCATGGATACATCGACGACAAAACTGTCAGCGGGCATCAAGACAGAAGACAGGAAACCGGAGGTAAAGAAGGAGGTGAAAGTGGAAGAGGAAACATCGGAGACAGCTACGCCACAGGCCCCTGTGAAAAAGAAGAGTATGGAGTTTTTTTATCACCTCCTTGTATATGATTATTGTTGATCTAAATAATAGAGTGGCTTTACATTTTTTGTAATGGATTCCAATGGTGTTTTACCCTTTCATCTCTTTGTCCTCTCTGATCTCTATTTCTTTCCAGTCTTCAAGCCAGAGGAGCTCCGCCAGGCCCTGATGCCCACACTCGAATCCCTCTACAGACAAGATCCAGAGTCTCTGCCTTTCAGAATGCCTGTAGACCCACAACTGCTGTGCATACCTGTATGTATCCCTTCTGAGGTTGATGTGTTTGTTCCTGGCCTTGTTCTAAACTGCGCTGTTTCTGTCAGTGTCCCATGTCTCTGCGTGTGTTCGTCTCCTTGCCTGCTTAATTAAAACTGCCATAGTCTGAATCATCTTTGGTGTAGTTCACTCACTTTTTGAGAACTTGTTGAAATCCAAAATTTCTTGACTGCTGTTGCTTGTGATATACTTACCACAATGTAGTTTCCATAAGGGTTGCTTTACTTGTGTATATAATTGACTCACAAAAGCAATCAAAGCTACTCAGCTTTAATACATGCTCATTGTTTTCTTGAAGGACTACTTTGACATTGTGAAGAACCCCATGGACTTGTCTACTATCAAGCGAAAGCTAGACACAGGTTTGTATTTGTTGCTATATATTACACAATAATAAACTTTTGCCATTGTACTGCACCTTTTGCCATGCTGTATTACAAAGAATAGTGTTCCCTCTCTTTTTTATTTGACACGATGTGCCGATTTGATAATTAATTCTTTAGATTTTTGTTGGAGACCTGTACAATTGGCTTCTAGCCCGTTAATAGGAGATGCTCCAATGAGGCTCTTTTTAGTTTGTATTTTTTTTTCCATTCCATTATCTTATGCTTTGTGTTTTGGTTGTAGGTCAGTACCAGGATCCCTGGCAGTATGTGGATGACATCTGGCTGATGTTCAACAACGCCTGGCTGTACAATCGCAAAACATCCAGAGTCTACAAGTACTGCTCCAAGCTGGCAGAGGTTTTTGAGCAGGAGATTGATCCTGTGATGCAGAGCCTCGGCTACTGTTGCGGGAGGAAGGTGAGACCGAGTGCTACATCTATGGCTAGATGGGTGGAATTGGAAATGTATATTATTTTGTTGTAAAAATCAAGAATAATATTTTGAAGTGAACATGCAGGAATGTTGGTTGAAGGTTATCTTTTGATATGCCTTTGTATGCCATTACACTTGTCAGTACTCTTTGTGTAGGACTGCTCTCCACCTGTAAACTTCAAGTGAACTGAGCCTTCATATGAGATATACTGTGTATGTGTGTGCATTGAGATGTGTCTGTATAGGGTACCTGAATTATGCCTGGAGAAGGGCTGTATGAATGTTTTATGTATGTTTAAGATGCAGAAATTAACTGGCATCATTCACATCTGAAAATGGAAGCAGTGAAGTGGGTTCATAGCTAAATTTGGCCTTTGGCATACCGCCGCCATATCACATTTCAGCTCTCATTAGACTCTGCTATTTTTGGTTTTGCAGACAAATAACAAAACTGATTGGCTCTTATTATGAAAGCATGGCTGAAGGGTTACTTCTGACAATGAGACAAAGCGAAGTAGCTTTTCACGTTACCTTTAATGACTTTTTACAAAACTAAGCCAAACAGAAATGAGCTCAACTCCATTCCACTAGGGGAGTTTTGGGGAGTTATAATGTGGACATCTGTTCATCTGACACAGTAGGGCTCTCACTGTCCTCATTAATATATTTCATTTATTTTTTAATTCACATATTTTGTGATGTTCATGTCTGAGTCGATATTTACATGTTGCTTGTAATCATTTATTTAGCCAACAGGAATTTGGAATATAATCATATCATAACAATACAATTCTAATCCATGTCCATAAACTGCAGGTCTTCTTGGGGAAACCATGTTTATGTTTCACTTTAATTGAATCAAAGTACCAGTAAATGTATATTGTGTGTGTGTGTGTGTTAACCCTTCATTAGCCGAGGTGGGTGTGACTAAAGTTACAATTGTTGATGGTCAGGAGATTAAAATGTTCTTTATCTGTTTGTTTTCTGTCCACCAGTTGGAGTTCTCTCCTCAGACACTGTGCTGCTATGGAAAGCAGCTGTGCACTATTCCACGAGATGCTGCTTACTTCAGCTACCAGAACAGGTATGAAGGGAGGGAAACGTCCGTCTGGTAAAGGAGGAGGGATGACTGGATGGACTAGTTAAAAAGGAAGGGATTATAGTAGAGATTAATTGAGAAAGATGTTGCAGACAGCCTATAAAGAAAGTACATGTCAAACTGACTTACTTAATATGTGCCGCAATGTTGTGTCACCTGATTAATTTTGCGCTTCCCTTCACTTCATGATACTCGTTTTTATACCTCCATATGGTGCTTAATGCACTGGCATTTTAACAGTTGGTCCTCTCTTCTCACATTCTTTAAGTTGTTTTTGGTGTCATTAAACAAATCTATAAATAACACCTCAGCACAGAATGTTTGAAAAAAATAAATGTTACTGTTACACAAATATTACAGAAAATGCTGCACATACAAAGCAAAGAAAATGTTTTGTTCTTTAATTTGTGCATTTGCATAAAATTATCTTTTGAACACTCCACTATCGCACGGTAAAAGTTTATTTTCTTTTAAGAAGCAACAACAATATCTATAAACAAATATCTTGTTTTATTATTGCTCTTCCAACACTATGAGCCATTCCTTGTAAATGTAGCCTTGTAGCTAAATTATTATTTTTTTTATTTCTTCCTGTCTTGAGTTATTGCACACCTATGACAGCCTTGCTGGAATGCGAACGGACTGACTTTAAAATGGACTGCTTGAATGAATGAACAGCTGAGCAGTTGTCTGTGCTTTCTTGTTCACATTTGTTCAGTGTCTGTATTATGTCCTGTGTTGCAACTTCCTGCTCCAGTTCCCTCCTCCCGTTTAGCTCCTGTTGAATCTTCTTCTGCTCTGCTAGCTGTGATGGTGGTTGTTGTTGCTCATCCTCTCATGTCCAAATTGCTAATCTGTGCTCTGCCTCGGCTCTCTGCTGTGTGTTGTCTTGAATGTTCGTCTTGTCTTGTTTCTGGTCCATATGACTGTCTGTCTGTCTTCCCTTCCACTGGCTGTGATATCAACATTGGCTTGCTTTTGCCTTGACCAACCATGCACCTCCAAACCCATCCCCTCACCCTCACCCCTCAAAATCATGACTGGCTGTTGCGATGACGACTTCCTGCTGTCCTGCTCTCCTGCTCTCCTGCGCTCCTACTTCCTGCTTGCTACGCTTGTGGCACCCTACCTTGCCCATGTCCTGTACCAATTGGTGACTGCCCTCCCGTGCGCTGTCTTTGATTGACTGTGCGGTGGGGAACGGTGTAGTTCACCAAAATTTGGGCTTATTGCTAACAGGTACCACTTCTGCGAGAAGTGTTTCAACGAGATCCAGGGAGAGACGGTTTCCCTGGGCGATGACCCCACCCAGCCACAGACGTGAGTATTATTCTATTTAATAAGGAAGGTAGCGCAAGTTACATTTTCTTTTATTTTCCTTTTAAAAGTAATGATCCCAGCATTTATTTTCATGAACTAACTAGCTCCAGTCTTCTTCCAGCCACAGTCCTGATAATATTAGCTATACATTTAACTTTTACAGCAGGGAGAGATGATGTAGCCTCAACAGTTGTGTTTGTATTGTTGTATCTTGACAGTTTCCTCTTGTTGTTCTACAAATCGTCATACTCCCTCTTAATCAATTTCAGATCAATTAACAAGGATCAGTTTGAGAAGAAGAAGAATGACACACTGGACCCTGAACTGTAAGTAGCTCACCAAATGTCAAATCTAAGCATTGGGAAGATTTAATCAAATTTGTTTTGAGGATTTAAATATGTATTTTTTATCTTCATCTTTGTACCTCTTTTCAGGCTTGTTGAATGTATGGACTGTGGACGCAGGATGCATCAGATTTGTGTCTTGCACAATGACACAATCTGGCCATCGGGGTGAGTAGCAGTTTTTATATCCATATATTCTCAAGGTACATGTGAAATTCTTCCTCAAATTTGCTAAGTATAGTTTTTTTTTTTTTTTTTTAATGTAATTCAACCGATTCAACCTTTTTTTCCCCCACAGTTTTGTATGTGACGGGTGCTTAAAGAAGGCAAATAAGACGAGGAAAGAGAACAAGTATTCTGCCAAAAGTAAGTGACAATGCTTCTTGGCCGATACCATTTAATCCCAATGTTCTGTTCCATACTTGTATACCCCTTTCTTGTAGGAAATTGGTGTACTCTACGTGTGTTTAATTGTCATTTTAACTATTAGACTACTGTCACAATTCATCTCTTGTTGTCATTTAGCGACTCAGACTCTAGTCTGAAACTGTAATTCCATATGCATTACTGGTTAACCAAAGAATTACATAAAACCATTACCAAATAAAATTATAGTTCAGTTTAGTTTTCCCCTGACACGCTAACTCGATCACTTTATCTGTTGCTCTATGGCTTTGCACAGTACGTCACAAGTACACCTACATAATACAAGTCTAAACCATGTTTCTAATTGCTTAAAGTTATTTTTCTCTGTTTTTTTTAGTAGTTGTCAAGTTAACAAACTAAAATTAGAAATGCATTGGCTGCCTTTCCCTCCCACAGGGTTGCCCCAGACGAAGTTGGGCTCTTACCTAGAGACGAGGGTGAATGACTTCCTGAAGCGTCAGAACCACCCAGAGTCTGGAGAAGTTACCATTCGCGTCGTCCACGTCTCTGACAAAGTGGTGGAGGTTAAACCAGGCATGAAGTCCAGGTACAAGAACAAGAGACATTGTCAGACTTCAACATGAACATATCCTTGGAGATGCATGTTTTGTTCGCATATAACTGCATTTATTTATTTGGAACCTTGCAGCAAAGTCAAATCTGTATCAGCACAGTCAATGTGTTGAATCATGAAACGTGGCTTCTGTAGTTTAAGAATTTTTGATAATTTTAATGCGGAAGAAATATATATTCTGTTTCTGTTCTGCCAGCAAATGAGAACATGGATACATATTAAATATTATAGTTCTTCAATCTAGCTAAGAATTTGTTGATGTAAAAAGGACAGAGTAATTGTCTAACAGGCTATTAAAGCAGATATTTTTTCAGTTTCTCTATTTTACAGTCAGTAAATTTAGACTTGTGGTTTTTTTCTACAGATTTGTGGACAGTGGAGAGATGTCGGAGTCTTTCCCATACAGGACAAAAGCCCTTTTTGCGTTTGAGGACATTGATGGAGCAGAAGTCTGCTTCTTTGGTATGCATGTTCAAGAGTACGGATCCGACTGCCCTCAGCCCAACCAGAGGTAATGACACAACAAAAAAATAAAAGAGGGCTCTTTTAAAAATAGTCTTTTTTTCAGCTATTAATATTTTCTCTGTCACCCATTCAGGCGAGTATACATCTCCTACCTGGACAGTGTACATTTTTTCCGGCCTCGCAGTCTAAGAACAGCAGTCTACCATGAAGTCCTTATTGGCTACTTGGAGTATGTCAAGAAGTTGGGGTGAGTGCACATTACAAAGATTACTTTTGCTAGTCACTGTTGCTGTAAATGAATTTAGCTTATTTTGTGCTGTCTTGTGTGTTTTCCTCAGGTACGTCACTGGTCACATCTGGGCCTGCCCACCTAGTGAAGGGGACGACTACATCTTCCACTGTCACCCTGCAGATCAGAAGATCCCAAAGCCCAAACGCCTCCAGGAGTGGTACAAGAAGATGTTAGACAAAGCTGTGGCAGAGCGGATAGTGCACGACTACAAGGTAGAGTAGCAGTATTCAACTTTATTCTTATGTGTTGGAGGAATGGTAATTTTTTTTAGATTCCCCCCCCAAAAGGTGTGTGTAGTACAGCCATTGAGCTTAACATTATACAGTGTACATATAATGGTATAGCTGATAGTAATGACAGATTTTTATACTATCCATGCAAAACACTAACGTTATTCTCAATTTACCCCGAAAGGACATCTTCAAGCAGGCAACAGAGGATCGTTTGACCAGTGCCAAGGAGTTGCCTTACTTTGAGGGTGACTTTTGGCCCAATGTGTTGGAGGAGAGCATCAAAGAGCTGGAGCAGGAAGAGGAGGAGAGGAAAAGAGAGGAGAACAGCACGTCCAATGAGAGTATTGATGTAAGAATGCTATGATCTATCACTATGGTCCTTAAGAGTTTACTTAAATGTTTTGCTGTGTGGCAGAGGGGTGGGAAAAAGGTTGAAGAAAGCAAACATTTCTTTTCAGTGTGTGTGTTAACATCATTGATATCCCCCTCTTCTTTCTTGTGCAGGACACAAAAGGTGACAGTAAAAACGCAAAGAAGAAGAACAACAAGAAGACAAGTAAGAACAAGAGCAGCCTGAGCCGAGCCAATAAGAAGAAGCCAGGGATGCCCAATGTCTCCAATGACCTTTCGCAGAAACTCTATGCCACTATGGAAAAACACAAAGAGGTATGAGGAAAAACAAATGATAAAACGTTAATACTTTCTTAAATTCCTGCATCTCATCACTCTCAAGCAACTTATTGAAGGAGTGGAGTAGAAGATAGCTGAATAGTTGACTAAATTATTGACTAGATTTTCCAGATTTTACTAAATTCTAAGGTCAGTGCTAGCACAAAGGCCACATCTCACGTGTTTGTCATCTGTTCGCCTCTCTTTTTCCTCTTCTAGGTGTTCTTTGTGATCCGGCTGATTGCAGGCCCCATGGCAAATGCCTTGCCCCCTATTTCAGACCCAGATCCCCTGATGGCATGTGACCTCATGGATGGCCGTGATGCTTTCCTGACAATTGCCCGGGACAAACACCTTGAGTTTAGCTCGCTGAGGAGATCCAAGTGGAGCTCCATGTGCATGTTGGTGGAGTTACACAACCAAAGCCAGGACCGCTTTGTATACACTTGTAACGAGTGCAAGCACCACGTTGAGACTCGTTTCCACTGTACCGTCTGTGAGGTGAGTTTGGGAAAGATTGTTTTGGTGTATGTATATGTGGTATCAGGTGATGACGAAAGAAAATACATAAATTGGAGCATTTGTTGTCTTACTGTAAAACCTGCTACACATCAGTTCTAAACATTTTGAACTGTCATTCATGCCATCCCTTATAGGATTACGACCTCTGCATCACATGTTACAACACTAAGACCCACGAGCACAAGATGGAGAAGTTAGGCCTTGGTTTGGATGATGAGAGCAGCAACCAGGCTGCCGCTACCACTCAGAGCCCTGGAGACTCGCGTCGCCTCAGCATCCAGCGCTGCATCCAGTCCCTTGTCCATGCCTGCCAGTGTCGAAACGCAAACTGCTCTCTACCGTCCTGCCAGAAGATGAAACGTGTTGTTCAGCACACAAAAAGCTGCAAGAGAAAAACCAATGGTGGCTGCCCCATTTGCAAGCAGCTTATTGCGTTGTGCTGTTACCACGCCAAGCACTGTCAGGAGAACAAGTGCCCAGTCCCGTTCTGCCTAAACATCAAGCACAAGCTCCGCCAGCAGCAGCTGCAGCACCGGCTCCAGCAAGCCCAGATGCTAAGAAGGAGGATGGCCAGCATGCAGAGAGTGGGCCAGCCCACTGCTGGAGGAGGTCCTGGGGGCAATGGCCTGCCCTCTCCGGGAGCCAACAATGGAGCAACTGGCCCTGGTACGCCTACATCTGTGGGCACGCAGCCTCCTACTCCCCAGACACCCACTCAGGGGAACATGCCTGCACTTCCGCAGCAGCAGGGAGTTGGGATGGGTGCAATGGGAGGAATGGGAACTCCAGTCCAGCAACAGCAGGTTCAGCAGCAAGGTGGTACCATGCCCCCTCAACACCATCTCCATCAGTTTCAGCAAGTGGGTGGTGGAGGGGGTATGATGAACTCTCCTCAGCAGCATATGGTGCCTCAGCACCAGCAGCAGCCTCCCAATGTCCAGCACCTCCAGCAACAGCAGCACACTGGTTTGCCTCCTTACAATCCCAGACCCCCTGGAGCCTCTCCTCTCCACCAGTCCCTGGGAAAACCTGGACTGGGTCCAGCTACCCCACCCCAGCAGCAGCAACAACCCAACCAGGGCCAGGGGTCCATGCCTGTTCAAGGCCAGCAGCAAGGGCCCCCTCTGGCTGCTGTAGAGACAGCTCTAAAAATCCAGCGCCTAGCAGAGACCCAGAGACAGATGGCTCAGGCCCAAGCCCAGATTCGTGGCCTGGGACAAGGGGGCATGATACCCCAACATCCTCACCACCAGAACAACCAGGCCCAGATGGGCATGCCCCACATTGGGGCCCAGGGCATGCCCCCCCAGGCTCCGGGAGTTGTTGGCAGGACTATGTTAGACCCACAGCAACAGGGAATGTTAGCAGGGATGCAGCAAGGTGGCCCTCAAGTTCAGCAGCAGCTCCAGCAGGGAGGTGGTGGACAACTTCAGTCAGCAAACCAGCAGTGGGGTGCTGGGGGACCAGCCATTAACTCACAACAACGGCCAGGCATGATGGGCCACATGGCACCACAGCAGCAGCCAGCAGTTGCTCAACAACAGCCGCAGACGATGAATCAGCAACAACCGCAACCAGGAAACCGTGGACTGATGCAGGTAATGGGTGTATCAGGAGGGGCAACAGGGGTTCCGGCTTCGATAGCAAGTGCAGCAGCATCGGGAAACCTACCCCAGGCAGCACTACAAGACCTCCTGAGAACACTGCGCTCTCCAAGCTCCCCCCTTCAACAGCAACAAGTCCTCAACATCCTTCGTTCCAACCCAACCCTTATGGCCGCTTTTATCAGACAGAGAGCAGCCAGGTATCAAGGTGGTCAGGGTGGCCCTGGAGGAGGAGGGCCTCCACCTGGGGGCCCTGGAGGTGTGAGGTTCCAGGGGGCTCCTGGAGGGCTGCCTGGAATAGGAGGACCTGGGGCTAACCAGCTTGGTAACATGGATGGACAACAGCAGGTTAATGTGAACCAGGCAGGACAGCCAGGGATGAACATGGCTCAGGGTGGAGCAGGGGGAGGGAACATGGCCACCATGGCTCAGCTCCAGCAGTTACAACAACAGCAACAACAGCGCCCAATTTTGCCCGGGAATCTACAGCAACAGCAATTGGCTGCATTACAACAACAACAGCAGCAGCAACAGCAGCAGCAGCAGCAACAACAACAACAACAACAACAGGGAGCAATGCAAGCAGGGCAACAAGGCAACATGACTAATATGTCGCCACAGTTCAGAGAGTTGATGAGAAGACATCTGCAGCAGCAGCAACAACAGCAACAGCAGCAGCAGCAGATGGGAAACCATGGACAGTTTCAGCAGCCTCAAGGACTTCAGCAGCAGCAAGGCCAGCAAGGGTTCATGCAGCCTGGTCAGGGACAACCAGGGATACCCCCCTCTTCCCAAGCCCAGCCTGGGGGTGGAGGCGTAGGGGGTCCCCAGCAGCAGCAAGGAGGACCACAGGGTGGGCCAGGACAGCTAGGCCAGCAGCAGGGCTACTCCAACTCCATGGCACAAGTAGCTGCAGTGCTCCAGCAAAGATATCAGATGCAGCAGCAGCAGCAGCAGCAACAGCAGCAGCAAAATTCAATGGGTGGGCTTCAAGGACAAGACGGAGGGCCTGGTGGAAGCACTGGTGGACCAGGAGGACCTCCACTCCAGCCTGGACAAGGCGGACCAGGGCAGGGGCAACAACCGCAAGGTGGAGGGGGTGGTGGGCCCCCACTGGCGCAGACGCCACAAGGCATGCTTCACCAGAACATCCACCAGAGGCTCCTGCAGCAGCAGCACCTTGGTGGGGGCTCTCCAGCCCAGCACAGCAGTCCCATGAGCCCCCAACAGCAGATGGCGCAGTCCCCCCACCCCCATCTCCAAGGACAAGGAGGACTTGGTCCAGCAGGGTCGCTCAGCAGTCAGGTCAGGTCACCTCAGCCCTCGCCAAGGCCGCAGTCGCAACCTCCACACTCCAGCCCATCCCCACGCATGCAGCCCTCCTCCCAACCTCAGCCCCAGCCCTCGCCTCATCGCATTTCCCCGCAGACCCAGACCGGCTCACCACACCCGAGCCACCTAAGCCAACATCACCCCAGTATGGCACCGCCCCAGCCTCCACAACCCCAACAGCAGGCGCTATCCCAGCAGCAACAGCAACCAGGTAGTTCTGTAGATCCCGGTCAGTTCAGCTCAGACCAGAACTCCATCATGTCCCAGCTGAGTGGGATGACAGGGATGCATGGTGGGCAGGGGGGACAGTCGGACATGTTGGGTGGGAATAATAACAGCAGCAACAACAACCAGGAGCTGGGAACGAACATTAACCACAGTTTAGAGCTAATGTAGCCTTGACTCCATACTGTCTGTCTTGATGCTCTGATCAGTTGCCCCAAACGACAAACTGCCATGAAAGGAGAGCGAGGCGGGACTACAGCTTTGGGGTTTTAGAAGTTTTTATTTTTTATTTAAATATTTTTGTGATGTATAAATAAGAACTGAAGCTTCCTTCCTATGGGAGATGCTACATAAATCTTAGAAGTCAATAAATGAATAAATTAAAACAATGGTAAGTTATTGCTGTTAATATATATCTATATATTTTTGCCAATTGTGTACAAAAAGGTGGAAGGGCAGTGTTTCAGGTTGAAGATATTTCTTCCTTAGTCTATGACACAATATTTTTGGGGACTGAGAATTTTGCCTTTTTATGAATATTTTTAAGATTTTAAATGTGGCTAAAAATTAAAGTGAGTTGACACGATGTACCTTTTTTATTGTTCTGTTTTCCTCCTCAAATACCCAGTCATAATTGTATGTATTTTGCAGAGAGTAAGTATATTTTATTTCTGAATTATTCTTTTTTCCCCCTCAATGGATCGTAAAACAAGCATCAACATATCTTCTGTTACAGAAGCCTTCTCCTGGACAGTTTTCACAGAAATGTACATTTTACAACGACTGCAACAATTCAGATGTATAGACTTTATTTTATTTGATGAGGGGGGGGGGCGTTAAATGCATTTAGATTTTGCCAGGTTTCTAGTTTTTTTGTTTGTTTGTTTTTTGACAGCGTTTAAAGGTTGGAATTAAACCTTAACAGTGTTTTGGGGAGTGGGTGACACCGACCATGGGTTTGGTCATATTTTTTTTTCTGCAAACAATGGCCAGATCCGCAGAACAAATACTTGCACCCATGGGCCACCTCTCCACCCTCCATCTTTGGTTCTCCTTTGAATGTGCACACCTTCCTTACCCTGACCCTCACCCGCCCCCCCCCC